GGAAATGGCCTATTGATTACACGAAAAAAGAGTTTAACTCTCACAGGATTTGTTTGAAACACCAGCATGGCCGCCGTTTTATTGTTTTGGAACACCAACATGGCAGTTGTGACGTCATGTAAAAACGTTTTATATTGTAGAGCAAATACATCGTGAAAACGAATTCAGTCCCACTAACTGAGTTCGAAGTTTGAATCAACCGTCGAACTTGTCTCATTTGGGTCGACCTAAATTGGTAGGCATAGGTACATGAAAAGTTTAACGTTTAAACTTAGTTATCATCAAAGTTAAAACTGATAGTAGGTATATCGAAAATATTAGAAACTTTTATATTTATCCTTAGTTATTCATAAATCCACCACTTGGATTATAACGACTCAATCTTCAGCATCTGCCTTCCTATTAGTAGCCAAGCAAGGGGAATTTTTGACCTGCAAAGAATATAATAATTTGATTTTTTTACTAATTTATACAGAAGTAAGTTGACCTAATTTTACGCAATTTGCTATTTTTTAAAAAGCTAAAAGGTAGTTTTGCTTTCAATTTCATTCCCCCAAAAAACGATAGCCCAGTTTTGTTATCCAGGGCTACATTTAGGTATTCAAACGGTTTACCGTCGTCTGTCGCAAAGGATCGATGGCAAAGATGAAAGCAAAGCCAGCAAGAAATGCCAACAAAAATCACCAAAAAATTATTATGGTTACTGTTCCCTGGCAAAATGTTTTGTTATCCTCTTTATAACTTGTCTCCTTCGCAGCCGTTTTTAGGCTCGTTACGTAACACTCCTCCCCACAGCGTTGCGTGACGAGCCTAAAAACGGCTGGGAAGGATACTACTTTATAACGGGAGCATTTTGCGTAAGGGTTAAGGCACTAAGTAATGTCTTCAGCGAACAATTGGCCTGAAAATAGCAATCATTTCATCGCGACACAACCCCTATAAATCAGATACATGATTACCCTGTATAATGTCTAACGCTTTTACGTGTAATTACCTGCAAGTTAACGACTGGCGTTAAAAGACAGCACACCATGCTAGAACCACAGGCTTTATACATACTATTGCCAGCTGGGTCATCAAGTGTCTTAAAATTGTTTGGACATTTTCCATTGACAGGTTTCAGGCAAGCAGCCCATGGGGTATTAGCAAAATTCTGGGATAAACCGCATTTGGCAGTCACGTGACGGTCTATAGCAGAACAAGGAGAGTGAGAGAATAATCCCCACTTTGAGGTTGCGCGGGAGACCTGGTCGAGATGGCTGTCAAAGTGCATTGTGGGACTGCTTTGGGGGACACATTTTCAACATTTTCAAAACAGTCCCACAATGCACTTTGACAACCATCTCGACCGGATCTCCCGCGCAACGTCAAAATGGCTAATAACTTGAATCGAGAGAAGTAAAAGGATAACAGAACTGTCCCAGACTTCAGGTCTCGCCCTGGCCTTTTCATTTTACTTAAAGCCCTTTTAAAGACCTAAACGACAGTTTTCCACTTGAAGTCGAAACTCCCCAGCCTTATCCATTTATACCTGCAGCCCCATGAAAAGGTTACCTCTAGCCTTTAAGACGGACATCCCCCACTCCGCTGTGGGATGTGGAATTTTCTTTTTTTGTATTTTAATAAATTTTCATTTTGTTATGTCTTACATTTTTTTTTAACTAAACATATAAACATCGCACACACACCCACACAATTACATACTACTATAATAATAATAATAATAATAATAATAATAATAATAATTATTATTATTATTATTATTATTATTATTATTATTATTATAGTAGTAGTAAATAAATAACAATAATATGAAAAGGAAAGAAACATACCCCAGTACATTCTTCTCTATTTACATGAAAAAAATAATAAATTAAGTAAGCCGCGAAAGGATCGTATGCTAATCAGATTAATATTTGCTCCATTTCTATTGAAGATTTCCAACTTATTATTTGACTTAGCGATCATTGTCTCGAATAAGAAAATAGTACTAATTTTGGAATTAAGAACTCTAATGGACGGAGAATATTTGTTCTGTCAACAAGAGTATAGGTATTGTTTTGCCAGTAAGAATATGATGATTCACAAATATCGCGTCCTCACTTCCAATAATACCAAACAGTATGTCTCTGTCTGAAAGATTTTCAATCTTGACTTTATGATCAACAAGTCATTTTATGACCTCAGCCCAGAAATTCTTAGTATAATGACAAGATAGAAAAAGATACTCGAGGGATTCATCTGATTCATTAAATGAGGAGCACGCTGAAGATGGGATGTGGGATGTGGATGACATGGCTGCTTTGCATTACACTGACAAATTTAAGACAAGATTCTTGATTTAGAGGCAATACTTAAAAAATATATATATCCAAGGAGACTAAAGGACCTTTAAGTAGACCCGCCAGTTCCTGCGTAAAATTTGTCTTCATGAAGGAAATTAATGAAACTTACCAGCGATAAATGTTACCAAAAGGAAACCAAGAGTCATGCTTAGCCAGCTTAGTTTCATCTTCAACAAAAGCAAATATTTCTACCTACAATGAAAATGCTAAAAATGTAATCATTTTTTTAATAACACTGAATCGTTTTTGAAGTTACAGGTTGTTGCCTGAAGCTATTAGTCATTTAACCCTCACTTAATTATGAACCGTTCTTGATGGCGATGCATAGAAGACTCATTTTTCTGAATCAGGTCCTCTAAGACTCTTTGTGTTAACAAGTGGTAAATAGAACGACCTTACTTTTCAACAAAGTAAAAATATTATGTTTTCATCCTCCCACTTTAATTTCATGTGATTGTTTTGAGAAATGTAAACTAGATGCACTGACCTGTCAATAGTCTTGTTTCAAAGTTGATTGATAAGAAAAGAATATTAGCGCAAACAAACTAAAAGTAATAAAACTCTTGATAATGATTTCAATAATTTCTAAACAAACAAGAGAAAAATCAAACAGGCAACGCCAAAGATACACCAGAAAAAACAAAACAAACAGATAACAACAACAACAAAAAAAACACCGCCTATGCACTCACCAAATAGAACCAACTTTTGGTGACAGAAAATAGGTTCAAACTCAGAATATGGTTGATTTTTTGTTTTTTTGAGCGGCTGCTGAATTTGCGCCAGAAAGAAAATTGAAACAAAAAATCTAAGCGATGCTTTAGCGCTGTGCAATTATTAATAAGCTGTAATCATGGCATCATGGAATAAGTTAAGCGAAAAAAAAAGGCTTACATGGTTATGGTAACTACCATGAAAAAGGAACCTGCTTATAGTGCTTGACAATTGAAATTAAAAATTAAAACAACAAAAAGAAGAAGAAAAAGATAAAAAGGAAGAAAAAGCTAAGCGTTCCCTATGCCCCCTGCATTTGAGACGAATTAAAGTTGTAAGAAGCCATCACAATTAACGATAAAAGAACGAACGAAAATATGAAATTGATAAAAAACAACACAAAATCAAAAACTAAAACCAAAACCAAACAAACAAATTTTCAAAACAGCGACGAAATAACCAACATGTAAATTACGTTATTGGGTCTACAAGACCTCTTACAAGCAATACGCGTGGTAATTTTTAAAATTGAAAAGATGAAATTTTGTACTGAGAAATCATCTCATAATGGCACCAGTAAACCCCCTAGTACGTCAAACAATAGTGCAATGAAGCAATCACAGTCGACTGTCAGTAATAGTCACTACTTTATTGTTCCTAGTTTCTGTTGATGGGTAAAGTGTTTCTCTACCATAAAACACAACGATTTTTTGGAAAGAGACAGAATATTTTTTGTACAACACAAGGTAAGATGTTCATTTAGGAGAAAATTAGTTCTTAATTAATTTCCGTGACTTAGTCAGTTTTGCTTGCTTTAAGAAAGAGAGTTTTTGGTTTTGGGCTTTGAAGCTAAGGTGATTGTGAATAGGCCTTTATGTTTTTTTTTGTTTTTTGCTTTTTTTGTTTTTTCTGGCAAAATGCATGGAGAACGCTTACTGAACCTTAGGGTCCGAAAACACTATCTAGCACAACTTGAATTTCTCGGCTACTGGCAACATATGACCAAAAAGTGGACCCGTCCACCGGATAAATTTCTATCCAGTGAATAGCGTAACTGGTTTCCCTTGCACTTATCTGATCCGGTGGATAGCGTTATCTTTTGAACAACTGGGACAAGGGCCATACTCGAATAATTGCTTAATATAATTGGTTCAAACCCTATGCTGTCGAAAAAAAATTGAGCATACCAGATGACTATAGTTACTTACTTGGTAAAAATCATCCAATTAAAGGGGCTGTGTCACGGCAGTCTAGTTCATTTTGTTTGACTTTGCCAATTACTCGCCCTCAACCGTTATGGAACTTAAAGAAAGCAAAGAAATTACATAATGACAAAATCAGATATCCGAGACAAACAAATATGTCTCCCGAGCATTATTTTTGAAGTTGCAAACAGCAGGGATCAACTTTGAAAAACTGTTAGGCTGAACAGTTTTCAAAAACCCTAATTTCAATCCGTCTCAGTTTTTCTTCAGTTTTGCCCATCCGTGGCATTTGTTTCTTCCGTTGTGTTATTTCAACCTCCCTTTAATGTTTAAGCGGTTATTTTTATGTTTCTCTTAATTTAACGGACATTTTGTAATTTCCTAATTTGGCTGCATTTCGTGGCACAGCTCCTTTAATGATATCAGTTGTCCCGCGATAAAGGGTTCACTTAGCTAGTTTCACTGCAGAAGAAATTTTCTCAGTATTTTTCCTTTCTTTTCACAGCAAGAAGCCAAGATGATGGCGAGGATGTTCCTTACTATCTTTCTAATAATTTGTATTGGAGTCGAGGCGCAAGAACGTGATCCCAAATGGGCAAAAAAACTGAATGANATTTCGTGGCACAGCTCCTTTAATGATATCAGTTGTCCCGCGATAAAGGGTTCACTTAGCTAGTTTCACTGCAGAAGAAATTTTCTCAGTATTTTTCCTTTCTTTTCACAGCAAGAAGCCAAGATGATGGCGAGGATGTTCCTTACTATCTTTCTAATAATTTGTATTGGAGTCGAGGCGCAAGAACGTGATCCCAAATGGGCAAAAAAACTGAATGATGTACTTCGGGTCAGAGATTCGCTCATCGGAAAAATAGAAACTCTCAAGAAGAGACCACTGCCTGATCAAAATGTGGAGGAATTTATCACATTTCTTGAAAACTTCTCTTCCCAGTTTAACGGCATCGACAACCTCGATTTTACAAAAGTAGAAAATAACAGGAAACTGCTGGTGCAACTTCTGAACCAACCAGAAGAACCTAAGGTCAAAAAATACTTCCGAAGTAAGAACCTGACGGTCAACTATACAGAACGAGGCCTTGGATTTGTCTTGAAGGCGCTTAAGGGATATTATGATTACCAGTGCGTACAGATGGTGCTTTCTCCTCTCCAAACAAGAGTCGCTGAAAGCCCTGTTCCGTTTGAGGCAATCTGTACTCCAGTAAACGAAGATTTGAGAAGGCATCACACATCAAACTTCTCCATCGCTAAAATCTGCATAAATGCCGAAAAGTGTACTGGAGAAAAAACACCCCACCCTTTTGGTGATCGAACAGGCACAAGCGCAAAAAATGCTTGCATTAAGAAAGACAACAGTTGCGATGTGTTGAATGCTATTCCGATGATGGGCGCTTTACTGTGGTACAAAATCAGTGACTTCATAGCCCGAAGCTTTTGTAGTAATTCTCTTACAGCACGGCCCTTTAAGAATGCACTGAAAACAGATTTGAAGGAAATTGATACAATGATAAACTTGATGATAGCATATACCAGCACTCTTAATTGGAAAACGTTTTTCGATCGAGCTATTAAGAAGAACGCATTTTCTAACTTAACCCGTGCCATGTCAATGTTTGGGAAGAGAGGGAAATCCCTAGAAATAGTCTCCTTCGCCTGTTCAAAACTAAAAGCAAACACAGATGTGTGCACAGTTGGCAACATATACCCAATTTATGTTTCTCTCAAAAAACTTAAAAAAGACAGAACAAAACCCCACCGAATTCGTGATTTACGAGTTTTTTCCAACATTAACCATCAAAAGATGCTTGAACTACAGAGAAACGATTTGGCCCAGATGAATATTCTAGGAAACATGAAGAGAAATGACAAAAATTTACGCAAAAAACTTTCCACCTATTTTCGTAAAGTTGCGAACTACGATAAAGGAATTGCGCAGGCTGACGTTAATTTTATCAGCAAAAAACTAAAGCAATTTAACAATTCGGCTGCATCACTAACAAAAAAGGTAGGGAATGATATGAAGGATGTCTTACAGGCAACGAAAACGGCCCTTGATATACAAGTAGCCGACAAAACGATTAATCTTCTACTTACTATTTTCCGCGACACCTGGAATCCTTTCAAGTTGTTGTTTGGAGGTGGTGATGCTAATGACAAAACAGCTGAGTTTGCAAACTCAATGCAAGAGAGAGCTAGAGGAAAAGCTTTGATTCAAAATCTAGAAAAAGTATTAAACGATACATCTGCATTAGGGAAAAAGTTTTTAAACAACTCAGCGCAAATTTCAAATCTTACTCGCATGGTGAACGCGATTAAGAGGAACAATATCGACAAACTCGATAATGATGCTGCTAAATTCATCAAGGCATTCGACGACTATAGTCCCAAAGTTGATAAATCTGATCTTGCCAAAAATGATGCTCTTCTTTCATCATTTAAGGATACTGCTTGCGGGCTACTGTTTGGTATGCAAGGCGTCCTTGTATCAGGTGTCCAGGGTAGGGTTGGTGGAAATCTCTTGTGTGAAAAACTGCAGGGAACTCTGGCTGAATTTTCAACGCTAAGAGAGAACATATTTGACTTCCAGTTTAACCTTGTAAATGCTCTAGCCCGAGTTGTCCGTGGTAACGTTGCAAATAAGCTGGCAAAGTCTATTGGGTCGAGTAATCTTCTAGACGATAGTAAAATGATGTTAGGATTCTTAATGACACAGTATCGACTTCAGTCACATGCATCTTTTTACTGTAACAAACTCGAGTACCTTAATCAAGGCAGGAAGATCAATGAATGCGCAAAACCTGGTTTCTTTTCTAAGCACGATCTAACCACCCTAATCGCTTATCGGCCAGATTCTACGTATCATGTAGATGAAAGATTTGTTTACATTCCAACACGTCCCCAGTTCAATGGTGATAAGGGTTTCATTGATCTGCCAGCCCTTAAGGAGAGCAACACCGTCATTTTTCGTTTACCCGCAAACAGAACATGGTTACGGAAATACAACTGGCTGGCACGAGGAGAGAAACTTGCACCATTTGTGAAAAGTTTCAAGTTGTACCTTCCACTCAAACAGTACAAAACTGGAAGGGAAAGAGAATTCTCAAGAACCCAAATTCATTTGAAGTCTGTGGCTGGCAGTTCCTTCGATGGAAATGCTAAGTTGACGTACTACCTACCTCCTAAATATGACGAATACAAAACAAAATACATTGAGGGTTACAGTCGATCACAATGCCCATCTGGAAAGGAAATTGACAATCCTTACAGCCTTTGTGATAACTTGCCTAAAATCTGCGACACTAGCCAAACAGTTCCTCAATCATGCCCGTCTACGCAAGCCCTTAGACCTACAATACTTTCCACCTGGAACCTAACCATTACAAAGGGATCCGGTGCCCGTGACCTGTTGTGGGGTTCGAACTCCCCAAATCCTGCCACAAATCTCTTGATAATTGGAAAAGTACAGCTTTGCTTTACACCTTCGTCCAACCGAAGACAGTTCTTGTCACAGCAGCGAGATACGGGAGCTCTTCCCAGTAAATGCTGCACTGACAACACGTATAGGCCAGATTGGAAGAAAACAAACTGTGTCCCATGCCCGTCAAAACCAACAAATTCGGTTTCAAAATTGGGAGGTTACTATTGCGAAAAGTGAAGTGATTATACAGTGGGCATGCAAAGACACTTTAAAAATCAGACTCAAATCTTTAGAACTATACTGTCATTCCGTAAAACTGCCTGCGACGTTAACGAAGTAGATGTTTTTCACTGATAGCAATGATCAGACTACCAGACCTTAAAAGAGCCCATCCAAGCCTTGTTTAAATTTATTTTTAAATGTCTTATTCGTGCAAATTATTCGTTTTTCATTCTGTGTTGTTAATCCATCGACGACAAACTTTGCAGTTACAAGACGATCTATCAACAATAATCTCTTGTTAATAAATGCGAATGCAAGATTTGGTCAAGTAAGAAAAATTCAGTTTTTTAATTGGCTAGATTGTGAGTTGATTGTTCTCTCCTGTGCGCGCTAAGACGTGTGCAATTCATTTTATTGCAAGAGTCATCAGCTCTGTTCCAATAAATATTTTCACTGAAGTAATTTTCTGTCTCAATATAATTTTTGAAACAATTTTTATCTTATATTTAAAGAGTTTTTAAAACCTTTCTATCGGTATCAACTAGTAATAATAAGTGACACCACAGCTTCCCCCTCTCTATATGTTGTTAGTCAATTGTATTCTTTTTTTATGCCGTTTGTGTAGCTCTTTGAAATATACCGATTCATATTAAAAAGTTTCACACATATTCTATTCATTAGGTGAGATAAAATCAGGAAACGCTCACAGGAGAAGTAAAGTTCCATGCTTTGAGTCAGGTCGATGTTTTTTTATCAAAACATCCTTCAGTTTCGAGAATACTACAAGAATCGACTTGTATTGAAATGGTCATTTTTCTCTATTTCTCGTGTGTGTGTGTGTTTTTTTTTTTTTGTTTTTTTTTTACATACAGCTCATTTTAATAGCCAGAAA